CCCGGGGGGGGGAAGGGCCGGAGGGCTCGGCCGGGGCTGCTCCTTCGGGGGGGGTGGAAGGTCAGGCCTCCCCCTGGCTGGGGAGAAGCAGCGTGGAGGGCAGCCCGTCTGGCAGCGCGGGTCGGGTGGTGCTGGATCGGGCTCTGGAGGTGGACAGGTTTCTGCTCTTCATTGATAACACTTTTCTCGCCCAGATCCTGGCGTGGGAGCGACCTGTGGTGTCACATGGAAATAATGGGCTTTAGAAGGAGCGTAAATAACTGTCAGTCAGTCTGCTGGACTTGCCAGAGAGAGGTGGGGTTGGGAGCACTGCGGCCTAGTTGCTCCTGATAACAAGCAGAGACTGTTTGCGTACAGTGGTGCCAGCCCGGCCTGCCTGTGGCAGCGGGCAACGCTTCTGTGTGAAAGGTGGCCCCGCGACATGTCGTGCTCGTGAAGAAGAACAGGAGCGGCCATTTGGGCCGGTTGTCTCCGCTCACACAGCATTGGCTGGGCGACAGGCAGCGCTGTGCCAGGCTCGCCCATGGGCCAGCGTAATGGCACAAACAAGGCTCTACTTAAGCCAGCTGAGATTGTATAAGCAGATTGGAGCGTTGCAAGCAACGTGTGGGGACAGAGCTCTCTTCTAAATGGGCTTTTCGTGAGTTGCCTTCTCTCTCCTTTAACACAGGGGATGGAAGCGGAAAGCGGCAGAAGGGAACAAGGAAAGAAAATAGTGCTGAAGCCCTATGTGGTGAACGGTCAGTGCTGCTTCTGTCCTCCCCGGGGAGGACTTCGCCACCTCCAGCCCCGGCGGGTTTCACAGAATGAATCACAGAATGTTCAGGGTTGGCAGGGACCTCTGTGGGTCACCCAGTCCAACCCCCCTACCGAAGCAGGGTCACCTACAGCAGGCTGCACAGGACCTTGTCCAGGCGGGTCTTGAATATCTCCAGAGAAGGAGACTCCACAACCTCCCTGGGCAGCCTGGGCCAGTGCTCCGTCACCCTCAGAGAGAAGAAGTTCCTCCTCATGTTCAGACGGAACTTCCTGTGCCTCAGTTTGTGCCCAATGCCCCTTGTCCTGTCGCTGGGCACCACTGAACAGAGTCTGGCCCCGTCCTCCTGACCCCCACCCTGCAGATATTTGTAGGCATTTGCTGTGCCAGGGCAGGGAAGGATGTTAATTCTTCTCCAGGCTTGTGGGCTTGCAGAGGAGTTACCCCCCTGGCAGCCGCAGCTGGGGGTTCCCAGCCAGGCTGGAGCTGAGCCGGGAGCCAGGACAGCAGCTCTGCCATTCCCATGTATCCCCTGCCTCATTAATTTCCTCTGCCCTCCCATGCTGCTTTTTTCCACAGTATTTCTACCTGCGGCCCCAAGAGGGCTCTTGTCACTCTGAAACGTGCTGGCGTGTGGCACCAGGGTGACAAGAAACTGTGGCTGCAGTGCCCTGCGCGTTTTAGTGGTGGGCTGGGCAGCTCTGAACAGTCACGCTCTGCAGCCGGTGCAGAAAGGCTCCGCTCCTCGTGAGCTGGAGAGGAGCCGCAGTGCAAGCCTGGATGCCTGCAGACTACGCAGAGGGCTGTTGCCTTGTTCATTTTCCTGCACGATCGTACTGGGAAGCGGCCCTGTGTGTGCGAGCAGCCGAGCTGTGCTGCAGAAGCCACCTCCTTTCTGCAGTGCTGGCAGGGCTCGACCTTGGGAAGCGGCTGGGGACCTCTGAGGTGCTGCTGGGTTCCCTCCCTTGCCTGCCTGACGGTGTCTCTGTCCTCTGCCTAGAGATGGAATATGAGGCCAGTCTCCCCGAGAAGAAGTCAAACACACTCTCCCGAGACCTCATTGACTACGTGCAGTACATGATACAGAACCATGGGGAGAACTACAAGGTAAGCACTGGCTATCCCAGAGCGGGGAGCACCTGGAGCGATCCACTCCTGGCTCTTCTGCAGGATGGGAATCGCTGATCCTCTCTGCCCTGGATCCTGTTTCGCCGTCAGCTGATTGTTAAGGGGAAGCAGCGCTCTGAACCTTGGCCAGATCCCTGTCTGACTCACGGCCAGCCTGCGAGAGCCTTCGGGGTGTGGCTGGGCTGGCTACCTGTTTGCTCTTGGGGCCGCTCCTCTGACTTGCCCTCTGCTTCCTCACAGGAAATGGCTCGAGATGAGAAGAACTACTACCAGGATACTCCCAAGCAGATTAAGAGAAAGATCAATGTGTACAAGAATTTCTATCCTGAGGAGTACAAGGATTTCATTGCATCACTCAAGCAGGAAAAGATGGACGTGCAGTGACTGCCCTTTTTTCTCAGGTTTGCCTGCAAGTGCAGGCTTGACGTAGCCATTCTCTGAACCGAGCGGGGACTGGCAGACGGGTGACAGTCACTCACGGGCTCAGCGTCTGCAAGTGGAGCTACACACAGCCTCTGGCAACAGAGGAAGGACCTTCATCAGAGACAGAAATAACCAGGCAGTAATAACCAGACTCATGGCTGCGTCTTGCGGCGTTGAGACTGAATGTGCTGTGCTGCTCCCTTTCCGTGTGGCAGCCAGCACTTCTTTTGCCTTGCTAAAATAAATTACTCCTTCAAGCTACTGTGAATGTCTTGCTGGTGGGCTCTCACTTGGTGCAGTCCTGCTCCGGAGAGCTCCTGGTGCCGACCTGCGGCATCAGGCGTGTGTCACCCCCTGCGGCGCTGGGAATGGGGGCCCGCGGGGCGCGGGCAGCGCTTGGGCCTTTGCTGCTTTCCCTGTAGGCAGCCCAGGCTGGAGCGGGGCCACGTGCTGCTCCGCTCCCCTGCGAGCGACCTTCCTGCCTGCAGCTC